ATCTTCGGACGGCCCAAAGTGCCAGAAAATGGCAGAAATCTACGCGGATTATCGCTTTTCCAGTAGAAAATGACACGCTGAATCGAATGAGATCATGATCAGCCCAATAGGACAGATAGTTTTCGAGATATCGACGCTCAAAGTCAGATTTTCGCTTTTATTGCCTATAGGAGCACTCCGGTAGGCTACTTCGTCTCCATTTTCGAAAATTTCCCTATTTCCACCACAGATTCGTTCATTTTGATATTGAATCAGTCTATGAGAATTTTTTCAGATTTTTAATAGGCCAAATAGAAATTTTCATTTTCCCACCTAAGACTTCAGTACGATATAGTCACCGAGCCATCTTCGGACGGCCCAAAGTGCCAGAAAACGGCAGAAATCCACGCGAATTATCGCTTTTCCAGTAGAAAATGACACGCTGAATCGAATGAGACCATGATCAGCCCAATAGGACAGATAGTTTTCGAGATATCGACGCTGAAAGTCAGCTTTTTGCTTAAATTGCCAATAGGAGCACTCCGGTAGGCTACTACGTCCCTATTTTCCAAAATTTCCCGATTTCCACCACAGATTTGTTCATTTTGATATTGAATTAGTCTATGAGAATTTTTTCAGATTTTTAATAGGCCAAATACAAATTTTCATTTTCCCACCTAAGACTTCAGTACGATATAGTCACCGAGTCATCTTCGGACGGCCCAAAGTGCCAGAACAAGGTGGAAATCCACGCGAATTATCGCTTTTCCAGTAGAAAATGACACGCTGAATCGAATGAGACCATGATCAGCCCAATAGGACAGATAGTTTTCGAGATATCGACGCTCAAAGTCAGCTTTTCGCTTTAATTGCCAATAGGAGCACTCCGGTAGGCTACTACGTCTCCATTTTCTAAAATTTCCCGATTTCCACCACAGATTCGTTCATTTTTATATTGAATCAGTCTATGACAATTTTTTCAGATTTTTAATAGGCCAAATAGAAATTTTCATTTTCCCACCTAAGACTTCAGTACGATATAGTCACCGAGCCATCTTCGGACGGCCCAAAGTGCCAGAAAACGGCAGAAATCTACGCGAATTATCGCTTTTCCAGTAGAAAATGACACGCTGAATCGAATGAGATCATGATCAGCCCAATAGGACAGATAGTTTTCGAGATATCGACGCTCAAAGTCAGCTTTCCGCTTTTATTGCCAATAGAAGTACTCCGGTAGGCTACTACGTCTTCATTTTATAGAATTTCCCGATTTCCACCACAGATTCGTTCATTACTACATCGAATTAGTCGTTGTGAATTTTCTCAGAATTTTAAAAGGCCAAATAAAAATTTTCATTTTCCCACCTGGGACTTCAGTGCGATATGGTCACCGAGACATTATCGGACGGCCGAAAGTGGCAGAAAACGACGGAAATGCACGCGAATTATCACTTTTTCAGTAGAAAATGACACGCTGAATCGAATGAGACCATGATCAGCCCAATAGGACAGATAGTTCTCGAGATATCGACGCTCAAAGTCAGCTTTCCGCTTTTATTGCCAATAGAAGTACTCCGGTAGGCTACTACGTCTTCATTTTCCAAAATTTCCCTATTTTTACTACAGATTTGTTTATTACGACATCGAATTAGTCTATGTGATTTTTTTCAGTTCTTCAATAAGCCAAATAAAAATTTTCATTTTCCCACCTAAGACTTCAGTACGATATAGTCACCGAGCCATCTTCGGACGTCCGAAAGTGCCAGAAAACGGCGGAAATCCACGCGAATTATCGCTGTTCCAGTAGAAAATGACACGCTGAATCGAATGAGATCATGATCAGCCAGATAGAACAGATAGTTTTCGAAATATCGGCGCTCAAAGTCAGCTTTTCGCTTTTATTGTCACTTTTTTATGAGCACTCCGGTTGGCTACTACGTCTCCATTTTCCGAAATCTGCCGATTTCCACCACAGATTCAATCATTTCGACATCGAATCAGTCTATGTGAATTTTTTCAGATCTTTAATCTAACGAACATCTTGTCACTTGAACAATTCGATTGTATGAATTAGGTGTAGTTAATATTTCATCATGGTGGCAAAACTCTCCCTGTGACATCTAAGAAAAATCTCGAAACCGAAGATGATCCATCACACGAAAAATTTCACTTGTGAAAGAAGTTGCATAAACAAGATTTGATATTCTGTGATTTATTCAAAAAATTAAACACCCCATGGCAACACAGTTTGTCATGGCAACACAGTTTTTTGTGTCCTGTCCTGCTTGTCTACATTCCTGGAACGCACCTTCAGAGAAATCGGAAAGTGACACCTCAGCAAATCGAAGAGTTCTTATCTTCTATACGATGAAAACTTCTTATTCACAAAGGGCGAGGAGCTATTTCACTTCCAGTCAGCTGCTTATGATCTATAAGGCACAGATCCGACCTGTCCTGGAATACTGTTCCCATATTTGGAGTGCAGCATCCAAACATACCCTGAAACTGTTGGATTCTGTCCAAAAAAGGGCAATTCATCTCGTGGGTGATGCCTCGCTCACAAACTCACTCACTTCTCTGGCACACCGTAGAAAAATTGGCGATCTGGCTCTATTTTATAGATATTTTCATGGACGATGCTCTTCTGAAATATCAACAATTGTACCTTCCTTGGCAGTCCCCGCGAGATTAACTCGTCGAGTTGAGGCTTCGCGCCCCTTCGTGGTCACTTTGGAGACCTGCAGAACATCTCTTTCCAAAGACTCGTTCATCTAACGAGGCTCTGGAACACATTGCCAAGGGGGGCTTCCCGAGACATATAACCTCCAGAAATTACAGAAGAACACCAATTCCTACCTTATTTCCCTTGGTTCTCACGATGTTCTATGAACATTACAGGATATCCATTTTCGTGATAACCAGAACATGAAAAAAGAGAGGAATTATGATTTTATATAGAGAAAGTATAGTATGTAACGCATTTATAAACTTTCCTAGACACTCGTCACTTAAAGCACGTTTATAACACTTGTTACATAAAATACTATTATGTTTTTTGTGAATCGTTGACATTCACGAAAAATGTCAGGTTTTTGACAGACGTATATAGAAAAGAATTCGATTCGGCAGTATCTGGAGCGATAAATTGACTGACGGTCCCGCAGAAGTGAGAGATGTATCGCCTTTTGTCCAATAAATCAACAAACAATCGGGGCGAGCGATAATGCGGATAATTGATGGCCGTTTTTGGGGATAATCAATTAAGATACGTGGCCATATACGGACAAGAAATCCAGGAAGCTGCGATGGTTATCTGGAGGAATTCGGTTTCGGCAAGTCTGTTATCGTGAAGCGACGATCGGGAAACAAATTGGTCCTTCGAACTGGATCATCTAATACAGGGTGATTGAGTTTTTCAACTTTCCACTTATGGAGATCGAACCATAATACATTCGATCTTTTCAATGTCTATAAATAACATAACCAGGAGCGGCAAATGGACACTATACTTTTTCTACGGCTGTAACGGATAACAACGAAATTTTTCATTTCTTCGGCTTGTTCCCATTTAATTTTCTCTTCATTCCATCTATCAGACAAAGCTGTCATTGCTTGAAACTTAAGAATCATTTCATGGGAGATGAGATTTTGTGAAATAATAACAAAATGCAGTCATTGTGATAATAATATATCAGATACGGAAATAAAATTGATGACATACAAAGTACCTCATTGATTTATCGAACACAGTAAATAAAACAACAAGCGAAATTTTGTGTTATAGCTATAGAAAAAACTATTTCACAACCACTACGATGCTACGATCATTTATAGAAAACCTGTAGTTGGATTGAAAACTTGATAATCGGTGTCTGTTGAAATCAATCTACCTGGAAGTTGGCACCAACTTTCTTATCTTGAATAGGCTTGTGGTTTAGACAACAGAATTTATGTCAACTTATATATCACAGTGTTCTCTCTCTGTATATCTATGGTTTGTTTTATCAGGCATCTGAACAACTCATTATTTTTATGACTGATTTGGTTCAATCTTTTTGACCAATCAGGTAATCAGTGTTACAAAAAATATCAGTCTAGCTAGCAAAATCGCTTTTTATCTCTTTGTGAACATGGCAGTTCACCAATGATCTCTGCAGAACTTTTTTCTGATCAAGAATGGGAGCCAATGGAAAAAATTGAAGAAAAGGTATGCAATATAGTTGTCAATAGACTTCATGGACAAATAAAAATCTGAATAGAGTGAACTTCCCCATTAGGGAGAACGTTGAATTCAAATTCAATGCGGTCGTTTTGGAAGGCAATAAGGTGAAATCCGAGAGATTGTGATGAAAAATAAACGTATCTGTTCCCATCCTCCATGCATGTAGGCTCGAAATTACCATTTTTTAATAGCTCTCACTACTCCCGAATTTCCTTATAACGGTATAAGGAAAGCAATAAAAAGATGGCGAACAAACATCATCCCCAAAGCTTATTCCAGACGAAAACTTGTTGCGCCTTGAAAAATTAACCGTTTACCTTGTAGTTTCTCACTGCCGCAACAAATTTTCTTGTTTAGCAGGATCCGCAGTACCCTCATGATCTTTTTCCGAGTCCCCCTAGGGAGGATTGAATATTCATAAGGGGGTGCGGTGGGGTTGCTCCGTTGCGAAACCGGGATTTTCGGTCCTGAAGGGGATAGAACAGGGATAATAAAATATTCGTATAGTTGGCGAGATAGTTTGTAAGGTAATTCGAAGTTAACCTGTTGAGAAAAGTCGACGATAATGCGGACAACGCAACCGTGGCACTTTTAGTGGCAAAGGGGACAAGAACGTTTCTACGGAAGGGGGAAATAGAGTGATTACCTCCCCAGATATTTCTTTTCAATTTTGTTCATAGCAGAAATGGTGAATTTTTTTTTGTTCCCACGAAAAGGGGTATCCTGTAATGTTCAGAGAACATCGTAAGAACCAAGGAAAATAAGGTAGGAATTGGTATTCTTCTTAAATATCTGGAGGTTATAAGCCTCGGGGAACACCTTCCTTGGCAATGTGTTCCAGAGCCTCGCTGTTCTTTGGATGAACGAGACTTGGGAAAGAGATGTTCTGCAGGTCTCCAAACTGACCACTAAGGGGTGCGAAGCCTGAAATGGACGGTTTAATCTCGCGGGGACTGCCAAGGGAGGAACAATTGATGATATTTCAGAAGAGCATCGTTCATGAAAATATATATAAAATAGAGCCAGATCGCCAACTTTCCTACGGTGTTCCAGAGAAGTGAGTGAGTTTGTGAGCGAGGCATCACCCACGAGACGAATTGCCCTTTTTTGGACAGAAACCAACAGTTTCAGGGTATGTTTGGGTGCTGCACTCCAAATATGGGAGTAGTATTCCAGGACAGGTCGGATCTGTGCCTTATAAATCATAAGCAGCTGCCTGGAAGTGAGATAGCTCCTGGCCCGAAACAGAAAACCAAGTTTTTCGGATGCACTTTTAGCAATTGGTGTCACGTGATTTTCCCAAGAAAGGTTATTGCTGATAGTAATACCAAGCATCGAAATGTATGTTTTCAAAGGTATGGTTACTCCTGGCAAGCTTATGTTGGGCAGAGTGAGATCGGCTTTCCTAGAGAAAAGGCATGCTTGTGTTTTGTTTGCATTGAAATCTACCAAGTTATTGGATCCTCATTCTAGAATTGTTGCCTTGGAATAGCATTTTCGTTATCATTATATTTTCTACGATGATTATTTATCTACACCCTTTTATCATTATATTTGCAAATTTGTTCAGTTTGACTATCTATAAAAGTGTGTTTTTTAGTTTTTCAAACTTCAATTCACTATTGCTGGTATAATTCTAGTGATTAGATGGTAGATTTTCGGTATTACATACATTAATTATGCATCTTTCCATTCAGTGTTAAATATCATCATGCATATGCATGCGGAAATATGAAATATGTAAATCGGCTCTAAAAAGAAAAAAAGAACAAATTTAATATAACATTCTCAAGAGGAAGGAATACCTAGTTTCAAAACCATCATAAAAATTACCATTACCCCCCTGAAAATTCACCTTAGAACCGCCCTTGGAGGGGGGTTGTTGCCGGAAACTTGGAATTATGTGACGTGCCGGTGGAACGGAGGGCCGTAATTTATATGAGAACTCCGCATACTGTCGAATATCCGAGAAAACGGGCTTCGGGAGAGTCGTTCGAATTATGCTCGACTCGAAAGACCGAATTTATTTTCCTTTGCCCGGAATAATTACTTAGCGATCGTTTCAACGAAACAGGCCGAAATCCGAAATTGTCGAGCTGTAAACTCGAAACAATTTCGGGACAGTTGTAATTCGTCTAAAACGAGAACTGAAAACATCAGATCGTTTGAAATTCGCTTGTGAAACTTCTAGAAATCTTTCTTTGGAATTTTTAATGGTTGTTTATTCAAAAAGGTGCAGAATGACAACAAGGCGTCTGCGAAAAACTCGTAGAACATTATAATTAAACTAATTGGAAAATGCTAGTCTTATTCTGGAAATGTTTTTCCCGTGTTGTAGAAACATTCATTAGGAATGAGCAAGAATGAGATTTTGTACTTTTTTCCTCTCAAAGTTCAAGATCAGAATGATGTTCACAAAGCGAATTCTAGATTCCTGGCAAAAAACAAAATTTTCAGAAGCATTCCTTTAAAAAGAGTAGGAATGTGATTGCTTTACTTTTTTTTAATACGTTTGATATTTGATGACAGAGCAAACCAAAATATTCATTTATTAAGGATTATCTCGTCGATATTGGTTATTTTGAATGAATTTCAATTCACAGAGTGATTTATACGTCCATGGTTTCCTGAGATATTGTCGCAACTCAGATGGTTCTAGTAAGTTATAGGGCATTATTGAGAAGAAACTGCGCTCCACCACGTGTCGCAACTCAGATGTTTGACCCCCCTATAGGTCGTGAATTAGCTACTCGCTTGGCTTTTGGACAAGAGGCTTTTGATCATTTCCATCAAATTCTTCATCACAATTGCCATTTGTATGGCCCCCAGGCCTGGTCTGACGGCTGCATCGGAGAATCCGAAACCTGAAACCAGAAAGATCATTGAATAGGTCGTGTCGATGTTCCTTGAAACTGTTGGTGGCATTGTATCAAGTTTGTACTATGTATTTTGTTCTTACCAGGCAAAGAAGGGGCTATAACCTCGAAAACAAAGTCTGTGCCCTTTTGTGCAGTCGTAAGGAGAGGAATGATTCCGTTAAACTGGCTGACAGACTCCGGCCAACCGTGTAGGAGCAAAAGGGGTAGTACTCTCACTCCTTTACTGGTTTGCTCGGGCGCAGGTTTCACATGGATATAGTGAATGTTCAAACCTTGAACGTTTACTTTGAAGTGTGGGTACCGATTGAGGAACGTTTCTCGTTCTCTCCAGTCGTATTTGGTTTTCCAAAACTCAGTGATATTTTGGAGAAGGTCGGTGTTCATGCCATAATGCTGTTTAGCCTCTTCTAGTGGGGGTTGGGAAGGTAGAGTGGAGGCTAGTCGTCGTTCCAGGTCACGAATAACATGCAGCAAAATAGTTGTTCAATTTATCTTTCCGATGTTTTTCATAGTTCATTGCATTTACCTCATCAGAAACATTGACTTGGAAGGGTTTGATACTGGTGTCAATACTTTTTCCTAGTTGAACTGGTCCCCACCAAGTTTCTTCGAGTTTTGGCACAGGAGGTACTTCTAAAAGTGGTTGCACCTTCATGAAAATCACCACTGCAGTCCCCAATACTATGAGGGCTGTTATTGTTACTGCAACCGCCATTGTAGCAGTGAAGCTATCAACAATTGACCCAGATTGACCGTAATTGAACATTAATTGCGATGTTTATAGTTTGTGACTTATTTTTAACTGCCTCGCATGCGATGTTGCCTGACTTATTCTTTGTAATAGTTCGAAATAATAGAAGGGATATCTATCATACATCAAATTCCTATCAAATTCAAGTATCTTGAAAAAAAGGTAGGAAGGGAATGAGATTTACAACGGAAAAATTTATCAAAATACAAGTATATTTATTACAAAAACACGCATCATCGTTTTTAAGCCCTATTAAGTTCTTCAACTGTCTCTACGAAATCGAAAACGTCACGTGACAAAGTATCTGGGACTTCAAACGCAGCAAAATGGCCGGCATCGTAGTCCCTGAGGTGCACCATATTGGCGTACTTGTCTCTCAAAATGGTTTCCGGCATGTACCACAGATCGTGGCGAAATCTGGCGCAACCAGTTGGTACTTTTGTAATCGGAATTCTGAAAAAGAATCGGAATTTTCATAGTAGAGCATGAAAACCAGTTAAAAAAGCATGAAAAACAGGTCTTCGAAAGATTCTAGACTACTTTTTTATCGAACTTGATGTATGCCCATTTTTCAATCGAGGTGGTCATTTTGATCATCAAAAATATACGCAGAAGGCTTTGGTTTTCATACAAAAAATTGTCACAATGCGATGAAGGACTATTTCCTATGTTTTCCATTCAAAAAATAAACTTGGCATCATCAAATGAATTGAGTGGGTTACACGGTAATACATACATCTAAAAACAGAAATTCACAAATTCTTCTTACTTACCTATCGAGTTTCATGCTCATATGGGTTTTATTGAACGTTTCCGAGTACAGCCTCATAGACGTCGTTATGGATCTGGTCACCCAGTATATCATGATGTTGTCCAAGAGCTTGGTGATGGTGAATTTTTTATGAAGACCGCCATCTTCCAAGTCTTTCCAGGATGGGTTAGTCAAAGTGGTGAATTTTTCCAAAATGTAAGCTGCCAACCCAACTGGACTCTCACGCAAAGCCACTCCTACAGAAAAACACATACATTTTTGAAACTCGTAATCATTCACGGAATCTTGTAGAGGACTGAAGGTCCTTTCAATTGAGGTGCTATAAGACAACATTGAGTTAACACTTTTTTCGATCTGATATAGGCCTAATCGTTTGTATTGCTAAACTTGCTAAAGTTGTTTTTTTACCCATAGTTGTCTCTGTTCATGGCATGATGTGAACAAAGAAATCAAGTTCAGCAGGTAGAGCAGGGACAAACGAATAGGCCTTATGTTTGCTTAATCGATTAAAAAGTGAGATATATATTCTTCATATAGGTCAACTACAATAATCTAGGGAAATGATATAATTTGCATAATGATAATTACGAATAGATGAAGAAAGAATCAGAAAACCCTTAGACGTTTAAATGATTTCGTGATCTATATGATTATGGATCCTTACCCACTGTGTCTGGTTTGGTAATTTGTATATGCATATACCCCGTTTCCAGAAGCGATCTCATCAACAAGTCGGTCAGAGGGTACACCAAATCTTCGTGCCCCTTGTCCACAATCCAAGAGGGGTAAAAACTGTAGACAAGAAGTTTCAAATATGACAGTGGCGAGTTAGAGAAGCACATGCTCGAATGTACCCCCAGGAGCTTGTCTGAATGCAAAACCGCCATAGCTCGTACTATGGCTCCTCCCCAATCACCACCTTGAACGTAGTATCTGTTGATCCCTATTCTTTCCATCAAATTCTTCATCACAATTGCCATTTGTATGGCCCCCAGGCCTGGTCTGATGGCTGCATCGGAGAATCCGAAACCTGGAACCAGAGAGATTCATTAATTAGATAGGTCGTGTCGATGTTCCTTGAATCTGTTGGTGGCATTGTATCAAGTTTGTCCTATGTATTTTGTTCTTACCAGGCAAAGAAGGGGCTATGACCTCGAAAACAAAGTCTTTGCCCTTTTGGGCAGTTGTAAGGAGAGGAATGATTTCGTTAAACTGGCTGACAGACTCCGGCCAACCGTGCAGGAGCAAAAGGGGTAGTACTCTCACTCCTTTACTGGTTTGCTCAGGCGCAGGTTTCACATGGATATAGTGAATGTTTAAACCTTGAACGTTGACTTTGAACTGTGGGTACCGATTGAGGAAGGTTTCTCGTTCTCTCCAGTCGTATTTGGTTTTCCAAAATTCGGTGATGTTTTTGAGAAGGTCGGTGTTCATGCCATAGTGCTGTTTTGACCCTTCGAGTGGGGGTTGGAAGGGTAGGGTGGAATCTAGTCGTCTATGCAGATCACGAATAACCTACAGACAAATAGTAATTGTTATACTACACAGCTTCAAATTATGTCCTGATTTGATTAATTGAAATCTGTTTAATCGTTTTTTATTACCTCATCTGGTACATTGATTTTGAAAGGTCTGATACTGGTGTCGACACTTTTTCCTGGTTGACCTGGTCCCCACCAGGTTTCTTCGATTTTTGGTATTGGAGGAACTTCCAGTAAGGGTCTAACCTTCGTGAACATTAGCACTCCCAACCCCAATATAAGCAGGGCTGTTATTGATATCGCAGACACCATTTTTAATAGCAAAACTGACTCGATTTGTCTTGGTGCGATCAACGACTGACCTTATTTATTCGATATAAGTAATAAATAGTGGGATATTTGCGATGTTTTTTGTTTGTTTTTATCATATAGGTATCTCGTATACGATGTTGCCTATGTGAAATTGTTTTATCGATGTATTCCACTCTGATTAATGTATGAAAATTTTGAATTTGAGGAAGTAATAATGATGTAACTCCAGTTCCAGTTCACCAACTCCCGATATCACACGAAATTCCAAGTGTCATGTGTCTCTAATGGATGTTGGATGAGGTAAAATTGAGATCGTTATTCTAAAAGTAAAACATTTTAATTTCAACAACCTATAATTATAACACTGAACTATTTTTTACTCCTATTCAACTTTTCAACTTTCTCTACGAAATCGAAAACGTCTTTCGCCAAAATATCCGGTACTTCAAGCGCAGGAAAGTGGCCCGCGTCGTAGTCCTTGAGGTGCACCATATTCACAAGTCTATCTCTCAAGATTGCTTCTGGCGTGTACATCAAGTCGTGACGGAATCTAGCGCACCCACTGGGTATAGTTATCGGGATGCTGGAAAAAAAAAATCTCAAAATTCACATATTTTACTCCAAAGTATATTTTACCGTTCGAAATTGATGCCCATAGTAGCTTTGTTGAATGTTTCTGAGTACAACCTCATAGATGTCGTTATGGATCTGGTCACCCAGTATATCATGACGTTGTCCAAGAGCTTGGTGATGGTGAATTTCTTATTTAGACCGCCATCTTCCAAGTCTTTCCAGGATGGGTTCGTCCAAGTGGAGAATTTTTCCAATAGGTAAGCCGCCAATCCAACTGGACTTTCACGCAGAGCAACTCCTAAAAAAATCTCAAAATTCTAATACTACAAAATTATTTATGAAACCGAATGGAAGAATATTAGAGACGATTTCACATTATGTGTTTTTTTAGTTCAAAACTGATGGACAAATGAAGTGAAATATTTTGAAAATGCTAGTCTGATTCTGAAACGGTTTCTTTCTATATTGTAGGAAACCTCATTAGTTTCAAAGGTGTTAATCTACTGGGCGAAATCTAGACTGCTCATTTACAATAACATTTTCAGATGTTCCTATTACAAGAAATGAATGAGTTCACTTGATGTGCTTTGAAGAAATATCTTTGAGTTTTTTTATGCTAGACGACTTTTGGAGCCCACCATCTTTTATCCAAAGAAACAAAAATTATTGATTGATATCAATTTGAGGCCAGGTTTCTTAACTTATCTTTTATCTTTCTGTTTATTTCGATGGGGTAATGCTGATAATACTCGCACTTGAATGGAAGTTTGGTTTATTCTACAATAATATGGTTGTGTGATTAATAGTGGGCGGCACAAATTATTTCCTAAGAATTATGAAATTAAATCGAATTCAATCTTGAACGGGAATTTTTATCGAAAAAAAATCTGATAGCTTATAAGATCCTATAGTATAAAATATCTCGAAAATATTTTGGCAAAACACACCAAACAATCATGATATACTCCCAAAAATATATTCTAAAATGTTGTCTTATCTAGATTCCGCCCTATAAATGTATCTTTAACCTTGAGAAGATAATAAACTACATAATTCCATATACCTACCGAATTTTTTTAACAATAGCAGATTCGGACTAGTGTTTTTCAAAATATTCAGGTGGATCACCTAATTTGTCTATCAATTCAGTTAGTATTTCAGCAGAAAATTCAAGAAACTTTCAGATGAAATACTTTCATTTTATATTCTTTTCGAATTGCTATGTATCCTCACCAACTGTATCAGGTTTAGTGGCTTGTATGTGCATATATCCTGTTTCCATAAGTGTTCTCGCCCACAAATTGCTCAAAGGGTACACCAAATCTTCGTGCTCCTTGTCCACAATCCAGGAGGGGTAGAAACTATATAAGAACAGTTTCAGATTCGAAAGAAAAGAATTTGCGATGCACATATTCGAGTGCACCCCGATGATCTTCTCCGGATAAAAAACGGACATGATGTGGACCAAGGCTGATCCCCAATCACCACCTTGAGCATAATATCTGTTGATACCTATCCTTTCCATCAGATTTTTCATCACGACTGCCATCTGCATGGCTCCCAGGCCTGGTCTGACGGCTGCATCAGAAAATCCGTAACCTGAAATCATTATATTGATTTTGTCGGTGTTCCTTGAAACTGTTGGTGGCATTTTTTCAAGTTTGGCCTATGTATGTCGTTCTTACCTGGTAGAGAAGGGACTATAACCTCGAAAACAAAGTCTCTGTCCTTCTGTGGGGTCGTCAATATGGTTATCATATCGTAAAACTCCCAAACAGACCCTGGCCAACCGTGCAGGAGCAAAAGGGGTAGAACCCGCATCCCTTTAGTCGGCGTGGGCTTCACGTGGATGTAGTGAACGTTCAAACCTTGAACGTTGACTTTGAATTGAGGGAACCGATTGAGAAGAGCTTCCCGCTCCCTCCAATTGTATTTGGTTTTCCAAAATTCGGTGATGTCTTTGAGAAGGTCGGTGTTCATGCCATAGTGCTGTTTAGCCCCTTCTAGTGGGGGTTGGAAGGGTAGGGTGGAGGCTAGTCGTCGTTCCAGATCACGAAGAACCTATAGACAAAAATAGTTGTTGAACTTCACATCAATTACTGTAACTGTTTCAATTGTTATTCAGATAGTGTAACTTGTAATAGAGATTCATAAACTGTAATTCAGATAACTGAAATGTAATTAAGAGAGTGTAATTTGTGATTATTCAGCTTTGTCAGTTGTAATTCAGGAAATGGTGGAGTGTTGTGATGTTTTAGCATCTGGTCAATATTCTGCTCGTAAAATACTAGTCGTTGTTCTCCAAAACCCGGATTATGAATTTGTTGAACTCTAAGATAAATATTCACGTGAGACGTTTTAGTTCGGATCAACTTTGGGGAATATGATCTCTACAACGAAGAAGAGTTTAGGAGATACTATCATACGAGTTGATGTTAGTTCCAGAATTACAGTAAATACAAGTCTGAATTATACTTCATGACTGCTCTGAATCACACCATTTTCTGATATACATCTTGAACTTTATGAATTACAATTGAAGAAGGTGAAGTCGTTGCTTTCGATAGCTTTATTGCAATTACCTCATCTGGTACATTGATTTTGAAGGGTCTGATACTGGTGTCGACACTTTTCCCTGGTTGACCTGGTCCCCACCAGGTGTCTTCGATTTTTGGTACTGGAGGCACTTCCAGAAGGGGTTTCACCTTCATAAAGATCACTAGACCCAACCCCAAAACTATGAGGGCGGTTATCGTGATTGCGGACGCCATTTTTTCCGGTGAACTTGGCCACACTTGACCCACTCACACTTCTCGGCTCGGAACTTTCGACTGACCGAATTCAATGCCATAGACGGCGTAACATCAACGATGTTTATCGTTTGTTGTTTATCGTAATTATACTACCTTGTCCTGGATCGTATATGCGATGTTGACGATGTGGAATTATTTTATGGAGTTCCGCGATGTTGCTTTCAGTATTCATTTTTTTATAGCTATTCATTTTTTTGTGTAGAATAAAAAATATGGTGAAACTGCATTTATCATGCGAAGATTTTTTTTTCTTCAATTTTTTTGGTACCTACCTACTTACGTATTTTTGTCTGAAAAACACGAATTTAATAATGAAAATGTGAACAAACCACTATTTATCGAGATATTTCAAGAAAAAGTTCGTAATTTTGCCTTCTTTTTCCCCTTGTGCTGGATGCATTTACAGCTAGCTATATTTACTCTTCTTATTTTGTCTGGACACTTTATATACTCATGATGTAGGATCAGTGTGAAACCAGCCACGAGTTCCAGCCACGACTTCGCCTAATATTCAAGGCGCGCGCCATACCACCAATGGTCGTTCATTATCAATTTATATTCATGGCTGGCCATGAAATTACTTAAACCTCAGAAATATGTCCATGGATGAAACTATTTCACATCAATGATTTTCTCTGAGGGTCTATGATAATCTGTATATCTCACAATATTTTGTCGGGCAAGAATTAACCCCACAGGCCCCTTTTTCGGAATTTCTAAAAAAATTCATAACTTTTTCAAAATACACGTGGATGGGAGTTTTTTTTATGAATGTGTTACTCTGATGGTACTCAATAATATATATATATATCTCACAATATTTTGTCGGGCAAGAATTAACCCCATAGGCCCCCTTTTTCGGGAATTCGAAAAAAATTCATAACTTTTTCAAAATACACGTGGATGGAAGTTTTTTTCTATGAATGTGTTCCTCTGATGGTACTCAATAATATGTATATCTCACAATATTTTGTCGGGCAAGAATTAACCCCATAGGCCCTCTTTTTCGGAATTTCGAAAAAAATTCATAACTGTTTCAAAATACACGTGAATGGGAGTTTTTTTCTATGAATGCATGCCTCTGATGGTACTTAATAATGTGTATATCTCACAATATTTTGTCGGGCAAGAATTAACCCCATAGGCCACCTTTTTCGAAAATTCGAAAAAAAATCATAACTTTTTCAAAATACACGTGGATGGGAGTTTTTTTCTATGAATGTGTTCCTCTGATGGTACTCAATAGTATGTATATCTCACAATATTTTGTCGGGCAAGAATTAACCCCATAGGCCCCCTTTTTCGGAATTTCGAAAAAAATTCATAACTTTTTCAAAATACACGTGAATGGGAGTTTTTTTCTATGAATGCATGCCTCTGATGGTACTCAATAATGTGTATATCTCACAATATTTTGTCGGGCAAGAATGAACCCCATAGGCCCCCTTTTTCGGAATTTCGAAAAAAATTCATAACTTTTTCAAAATACACGTGAATGGGAGTTTTTTTCTATGAATGCATGCCTCTGATGGTACTCAATAATGTGTTTATCTCACAATATTTTGTCGGACAAGAATTAACCCCATAGGCCACCTTTTTCGAAAATTCGAAAAAAATCATAACATTTTCAAAATACACGTGGATGGGAGTTTTTTTCTATGAATGTGTTCCTCTAATGGTACTCAATAATATGTATATGTCACAATATTTGTCGGGCAAGAATGAACCCCATAGGCCTCCTTTTTCGGAAATTCGAAAAAAAATCATAACATTTTCAAAATACACGTGGATGGGAGTTTTCTTCTATGAATGCATGCCTCTGATGGTACTCAATAATGTGTTTATCTCACAATATTTTGTCGGGCAAGAATTAACCCCATAGGCCACCTTTTTCGAAAATTCGAAAAAAAATCATAACATTTTCAAAATACACGTGGATGGGAGTTTTCTTCTATGAATGTGTTCCTCTGATGGTACTCAATAATATGTATATCTCACGCTTAACTTGAAGTTTGAACTTGAAGGTTGACCTTGAAGGTTCAACTTGAAGTTTGAACTTGAAGGTTGAACTTGAAGGTTGAACTTGAAGTTTGAACTCGAAGGTTGAACTTGAAGTTTGAACTTGAAGGTTCAACTTGAAGTTTGAACTTAAGGTTGAACTTGAAGTTTGAACTTAAGAATGAACTTGAAGTTTGAACTTGAAGTTTAAGCTTGAAGGTTCAACTTGAAGTTTGAACTTGAAGGTTGAACTTGAAGTTTGAACTTGAAGGTTGAACTTGAAGTTTGAACTTGAAGGTTCAACTTGAAGTTTGAACTTAAGGTTGAACTTGAAGTTTGAACTTAAGAATGAACTTGAAGTTTGAACTTGAAGTTTAAGCTTGAAGGTTCAACTTGAAGTTTGAACTTGAAGGTTGAACTTGAAGTTTGAACTTAAGAATGAACTTGAAGTTTGAACTTGAAGTTTAAGCTTGAAGGTTCAACTTGAAGTTTGAACTTGAAGGTTGAACTTGAAGTTTAAGCTTGAAGGTTCAACTTGAAGTTTGAACTTGAAGGTTGAACTTGAAGTTTGAACTTGAAGGTTGAACTTGAAGTTTGAACTTGATGGTTGAACTTGTAGGTTGAACTTGAAGTTTGAACTCAAAGGTTGAACTTGAAGTTTGAACTTGAAGGTTGAACTTGAAGGTTTAACTTGAAGTTTGAACTTGAAGGTTGAACTTGAAGGTTGAACTTGAAGTTTGAACTCGAAGGTTGAACTTGAAGTTTGAACTTGAAGGTTCAACCTGAAGTTTGAACTTAAGGTTGAACTTGAAGTTTGAACTTGAAGGTTCAACTTGAAGTTTGAACTTGAAGGTTGAACTTGAAGTTTGAACTTGATAAGGTTGAACTTGGCGGTTCAACTTGAAGTTTGAACTTGAAGGTTGAACTTGAAGGTTCAACTTGAAGTTTGAACTTGAAGGTTCAACTTGAAGTTTGAACTTGAAGGTTCAACTTGAAGTTTGAACTTGAAGGTTGAACTTGAAGTTTGAACTTGAAGGTTGAACTTGAAGGTTCAACTTGAAGTTTGAACTTGAAGGTTGAACTTGAAGTTTGAACTTGAAGTTTGAACTTGAAGGTTGAACTTGAAGTTTGAACTTGAAGGATGAACTTGAAGGTTCAACTTGAAGTTTGAACTTGGAGGTTGAACTTGAAGTTTGAACTTGAAGGTTGAACTTGAAGTTTGAACTTGAAGGTTGAACTTGAAGGTTCAACTTGAAGTTTGAACTAGAAGGTTGAACTTGAAAGTTCAACTTGAAGTTTGAACTTGAAGGTTGAACTTGAAGTTTGAACTTGAAGTTTGAACTTGAAGGTTGAACTTGAAGTTTGAACTTGAAGTTTGAACTTGAAGTTTGAACTTGAAGTTTGAACTTGAAGGTTGAACTTGAAGGTTGAACTTGAAGGTTCAACTCGAAGTTTGAACTTAAGGTTGAACTTGAAGTTTGAACTTGAAGGTTCAACTTGAAGTTTGAACTTGAAGGTTGAACTTGAAGTTTGAACTTGAAGGTTCAACTTGAAGGTTCAACTTGAAGTTTGAACTTGAAGGTTGAACTTGAAGTTTGAACTTGAAGTTTAAACTCGAAGGTTGAACTTGAAGGTTGAACTTGAAGGTTCAACTTGAAGTTTGAACTTGAAGGTTGAACTTGAAGTTTGAACTTGAAGTTTGAACTTGAAGGTTGAACTTGAAGTTTGAACTTGAAGTTTGAACTTGAAGGTTGAACTTGAAGTTTGAACTTGAAGGTTAAACTTGAAGGTTCAACTTGAAGTTTGAACTTAAGGTTGAACTTGAAGGTTTAACTTGAAGTTTGAACTTGAAGGTTGAACTTGAAGTTTGAACTTGAAGTTTAAACTTGAAGGTTCAACTTGAAGTTTGAACTTGAAGGTTGAACTTGAAGGTTGAACTTGAAGTTTGAACTTGAAGGTTGAACTTGAAGGTTCAACTTGAAGTTTGAATTCGAAGGTTCAACTTGAAGTTTGAACTTGAAGGTTCAACTTGAAGTTTGAACTTGAAGGTTCAACTTGAAGTTTGAACTTGAAGGTTGAACTTGAAGTTTGAACTTGAAGGTTGAACTTGAAGGTTCAACTTGAAGTTTGAACTTGAAGGTTGAACTCGAAGTTTGAACTTGAAATTTGAACTTGAAGGTTGAACTTGAAGTTTGAACTTGAAGGATGAACTTGAAGGTTCAACTTGAAGTTTAAACTTGAAGGTTGAACTTGAAGTTTGAATTCGAAGTTTGAACTTGAAGGTTGAACTTGAAGGTTGAACTTGAAGGTTCAACTTGAAGTTTGAACTTGAAGGTTGAACTTGAAGTTTGAACTTGAAGTTTGAACTTGAAGGTTGAACTTGAAGTTTGTACTTGAAGTTTGAACTTGAAGTTTGAACTTGAAGGTTGAACTTGAAGGTTCAACTTGAAGGTTGAACTCGAAGGTTCAACTTGAAGTTTGAACTTGAAGGTTGAACTTGAAGTTTGAACTTGAAGTTTGAACTTGAAGGTTGAACTTGAAGGTTGAACTTGAAGTTTGAACTTGAAGGATGAACTTGAAGGTTCAACTTGAAGTTTGAACTTGAAGGTTGAACTTGAAGTTTGAACTTGAAGTTTGAACTTGAAGGTTGAACTTGAAGTTTGAACTTGAAGGTTGAACTTGAAGTTTCAACTTGAAGTTTGAACTAGAAGGTTGAACTTGAAGGTTCAACTTGAAGTTTGAACTTGAAGGTTGAACTTGAAGTTTGAACTTGAAGGTTCGACTTGAAGTTTGAACTTGAAGTTTCAACTTGAAGTTTGAACTTGAAGGTTGAACTTGAAGGTTCAACTTGAAGTTTGAACTTAAGGTTGAACTTGAAGTTTGAACTTGAAGGTTCAACTTGAAGTTTGAACTTGAAGGTTGAACTTGAAGGTTCAACTTGAAGTTTGAACTTGAAGGTT